GGGTCTCCACAGGCGCCCTGTCTCGCGGAGCGCGAGTGTCAGGGCAGCTCCTCACCCCGCTCCCTCTCAGGGGTCCCTGTGGGAGAGGGGACCTCCGTGATGCTCTGCCTGGGGGCCTCCTCTAAGAGGACGGTGTTAGATTGTCCACACCGACGGGTGGCGAGAGAAAAAGGGAGAGGTTATTTCAGAGCCAGGAGGATAGAGGCACCAAGTAGCCGTGAGCCCCGGCAGGCTCCAGGCTGCAGGGCTTGGCGAGCCGCGGGCAGAGCCAGGATCCGGCCTCTGGACAGGGCACGACGGATTGCCGAGGCCGTGCCAGACAGAGCGATGGGACACGGGGGGAGTCGTTTGGGGCGTTCTGACTCTCTTCTGTATTTTCCTGTCTTTCCAGAAAATCAACCGGACCCCTTCGGATGAGGAATGCTTCTTTGACCTGTTGAGCAAGTTCCAGAGCAACCGGATGGATGATCAGCGCTGCCCGTTGGAAGAATGCCCATCGGAGGCTGCAGAGGCAGCTGCCACACCGGTCCCTGCCCTGGAAGAACGGATATGTAAGCACCGATGCGTTCATAAGTCACTATTGCTGTGGGAGCGATGCTGCTCCCATGGCGTGGCCAGCTGTCGTGGTTTTACTGTGGATCTTGTGATGTTTTCCCCAAGCCTCGGCTCTCCTGAGCTTAGCAGTCCTTTGGCAATCTCCGTCATTATTTAAGGAAGGAGGAAACATTCTTATGTTAATGGTTGCTGAGGGAAAGGCCAGAGCATGTGAACTAAGGCTTGGAGAGTAAACCAGCAAGAGAAATGCAAAACATACTCGGATTTTTTTCGGCGTGGCTCTTTAGAAGGTCTTACTTTCTGAACAGCGAGGTTGGCACGAGGATTTCTGCCTCTGCCAGCATCTCCAGGAGGAAGATGCTGATGGTCATTACTGAGGGAGCCTGGAGAGCTGGGGCACGGAGAGGGCTGGGACAGGCTTTCACAGGCAGCTCCAAGTATTGCCAGTTTTTCTCACAGCGTTGTCATGGAGGGAAAAACTTCTGGATTTTGTACGGTTCTTGGATGCTGTGGTGATAGGTGCTGGGCAAGAGCAGAGAAGCCAGAAGGATGGATAAACAGCAGGCAGACAGCTAGCTCACCCGTAGGAAGAACAGGGATAAATTGAGGAAGCCGTCTGACAAATAGATGGGACAGGAAAGCAGGTCAGGGCTGTGTCTGCACTTCGGTTTCGTGTCTCTCTTTGCGATACGGTGTTGATGGCCTTTGTTTAAACCAAGCTGGAGAGCAGCACGGCAACGTGCATCACACTTGCATGCTCCATCACCACCACAGAGGGCTCTAAACGCTCCATTTGACCTGATGGATTTGTTTCTCGGTTTCCAAACGAACGTGAAGTGCGGACAGGAGAGGAGGGAGACCCCTGACATCCCTCCGGGTGCGGCAAGAGCCGCAGCACCAGGCTGCTCCGAGGAGCAGGGGCTGAAGCGGCAGCGAGAGCAGGGCAGTGGGGAGAAGGACAGGCTGCGGCAGGAAGGCAGGTCGGCTCCGAGGTGAGCAGGGCTTTTTGTCTTCTCAAAATAGGGTGGAAATGAGCATCACTTTTTTCAGGACCGACATTTCTCATACGGAATTGCGTTTGGCTGTAAGAGCCGTGTAATTTAGGAGATGGAGTTTAAAATACAAAGCTTTATAAAGAACGTACAAGCAGGCACACGTTCCGTGCAGCTCTCGTTTGCTCTCTGAGCCTTTCGGACATGTTATTTTCAAGGTTTCTCTGTGAGCTGAAGGGGAAGAAATTCATCTTTGCTTCAGCGCTGAGATTTTTATGTGTTTCTGCAACTCCGTGAGCTCGGGCTCGGAAAAGAGCCTGTTGTGGCGGGAGGCTCAAGTGCTTTGTGCTCCCTGGGACAGTAACCCCAATTGGGACGGGTTTCTTACGGTTTTCTTTTGCTTGCCCCTGTCCCGAGCGCAGCGTGCGGTGTTTGGGAGCCTTTCACTGCCCGGCAGCTGCCAGGAGCCAACAGGCTCTTTCTGGTGAGCGCTGCCGAGAGGCGTTTCCAGGGCTGGGGGCTGATCCGCTCGCTCTGCCGAGGTCCCAGCGTTGCCCCTGTGCTGTGTTTGAAGGTGGAGGATTTGAAAATCCCCCCCCCCCTTTGTCCCCTTGTTGCTCTGCCCTGTGCCAACAGGACGCTGCCATGCTGCTGATGGCTCCTCCAGCGCTGCTCCCTGGGAGCAAGAAAGCACCAGGCGTGTTGGGTGTCCGTGCAGGATGCTCCCCGCAAGGGTTTATAGATTTTATGTGTAGGTTCTGGATCGGGATCCTCCCGGCAGGCAGAGCCCAGGCTCGGCGCGAGGAGAAGGACCAGACCCCACGAGTGCTCTCCTCACGCGTGCCGCGACGCAGGTCCTGCAGCTCCTGCCGGCCAGAGCGTCCGCAGGGCTCG